TTATCGGTCCAGTTGTGAGGATTTTTGTTTTCTTTATGTTGAGGTGTAATCCATACTGGAGGCTGTGGTCTTTGATCTTCATCAGTAAGTGCTCCAAGTCCTCCTCAATTTCAGCAAGCAAGGTTGTGTCATCTGCATAATGCAGGTTGTTAATTAAACTTCCTCCAATCCTGATGCCGCATTCTTCTTCATATAGTCCAGCTTCTCGGATTATTTGCTCAGCATACAGATTGAAAAAGCATAGTGAAAGGATACAATCTTGAAGCACACCTTTCCACGCAGTATCCCTTTGTTCTGTTCCAAAGACTGCCTCAAAATCTATGTATAGGTTACTCATGAGCATAATTAAATGTTCTGGAATTCCCATTCTTTTCAATATTATCCATAATTTGTTACAATCCACACAGTCAAATGCCTTTGCATAGTCAATAAAACACAGGTAAATATCTTCTGGTATTCTCTGCTTTCAGCCAAGATCCGTCTGACATCAGCAATGATATCCCTCAGCAAAATTTTACTCGTGTGTGATATTAATGATATTGTTCAATAATTTCTGCATTCTGTTGGATCACTTTTCTTTGGAATGAGCATGAATATGGATCTCTTCCAGTCGGTTGGCCAGGGAACTGTCTTCCAAATTTCTTGACAGAGACAAGTGAGCACCTCCAGTGCTGCATCTGTTTGTTGAAACATCTCAGTTGGTATTCTGTCAATTCCTATAGCCTTGTTTTTCAACATTCCCTTCAGTGCAGCTTGGACATCTTCCTTCAGTACCATCAGTTCTCGATCATATGCTACCGCCTGAAATGGTTGAATGTCCACCAATTCTTTTGGTGCAGTGACTCTGTGTATTCCTTCCATCTTCTTTTGATGCTTCCTGTGTCTTTCAATATTTTCCCCATAGAATCCTTCAATATTGTAACTCGAGGCTTGAGTTTTTTCTTTAGTTCTTTCAGCTTGAGAAATGCTGAGCATGTTCTTCTCTTTTGGTTTTCTATCTCCAGGTCTTTGCACATTTCATTATAATACTTTAGTTTGTCTTCTTGAGCCACCCTTCGAAATCTTCTGTTCAGCTCTTTTACTGCATTTCTTCCTTTTGCTTTAGCTACTTTACATTCAAGAGCAAGTTTCAGAGTCTTTTCTGACATCCTTTTTCTTTTTCTTTCCTGTCTTTTTAATGACCTTTTGCTTTCTTCATGTATAATGTCCTCGATGTCATTCCACAACTTGTCTGGTCTCCAGTCATTAGTGTTCAATGCATCAAATCTTTAGAGGGTCTCTAAATTCAGGTGGGATATACTCAAGTTCATATTTTGGCTCTCATGGGCCTGCTCTAATTTTCTTCAGCTTCAACTTGAACTCGTGTATGAGCAATTGATGGTCTGTTCCACAGTTTGCCCCTGGCCTTGTTCTGACTGTTAATATTGAGCTTCTCCATTGTCTCTTTCCACAGATGTAATCAATTTGAATCCTGTGTTTTCCATCTGGCAAGGTCCACGTGTATAGTCACCGTTTATGTTGTTGAAAAAAGGTATTTGCAATGAAGAAGTCATTGGTCTTGCAAAATTTGATCATGCTATCTCCAGCATCCTTTCTCTGTAAAGATTGTGGCCTTGGAAACCCTATGGGACAGTTCTACTCTGTCCTATGGGTTCACTAGGTGTCAGAATTGACTCACCTGCAACAGGTTTGATGGGACAGGTGATGAGATGTCAGCCGAGGTTGTTAAACAAGGGAGGGACACAATCAGACCCATAATTTAGAAAGATTTTCGGGAGCAGAGAGGATAAGCTGCAGAGGGAAGCATCTTGTCGCAGTTCAGATGCCAGACGACCAAGGAGGTAGGACTGCTATGAGGGGCTTGTGGAATCCAGGGTGCTTGGTGGGCCATCGGCTCAGGGACTGATCAAGGTATAGGAAAAGTGGAGGACAACTCTTGAGTTCTACCTGGCCTCCTGGTTGGATCTGGTACCAGGGTGCTGGTGGTGGGAGGATGGTCAGTTGGCTGTTGGATACACCTTGTTTCAGGTGTTTAGGGAACATCCAGGTAGAGATGGGCAGTGAGCAGGTGAAATGGTAACGTTCAAGAGAAGGCTGTCCAGAGATACATAGTTCCATGTGGAATAAGTCAAGGAAGACGAGGTGTTTGGCTTGCAAAAGAAGACCAGATGGTTGTCACTCAAACGTTCTGAAGCCTTAAAGGCAAGAGAGGTTAGACCTGTCTGTTCTGGCCGCAGTGGGGGACCTAAGGCTAAAGGGCAGCTTTGAGAACTGGATTTCAGCTCACCCTTTCCAAGACTCTGCACTGGGGGAAGATGGAATGGGTGTGGCCATGGCGGGGGAGGGGCTCCTGATGGTATCTGTGAAGAGGAATTCAGCTCCAGGCAAAAAGCCCTTTCTTCCTGTTGCTGCTGGGAGCCCTGGTGGCTCAGTGGTTGAAGTGCTCCACAGGAGAAAAGACCTGGTAATCTGCTCCCATGAAGATTTCAGCCTAGGAAACCCTATGCGGCAGTTCTACTCTATCCTGTAGGATCGCTGTGAGTTGGAATAGGCTCCGTGGCAACGGATTTTCCTATTGCTGCTTCCTTCTTTCCTCTTCTCCGCTCCCGTTATCACAACTGCCTTACCCTAGATAGCCAGCCATTGAATCGATTATTGTTGTTAGTTGCCCTGGGGTGGTCTCTGGCTCATGGCGACCCCATGTGTGCAGAATTGAACTATGCTCCACCGTGTTTTTAAGGCTGTGACTCTGAAGCAGATCTCCAGACCTGTCTTCAGGGGTGCCTCTGGGTGGGTTCCAACTGCCAACCGGTTGTGCCCACCCGCCCTATTGGATAGATCAAAGTCAAGCAATTGAGAGTAACTGATGAACCACTCTTAGCAGGTGTACTTGCACTAAAAAACGTGGGAAGTGCCCATTTAAACAAATGCCCCATGGGTGGAAGTTGCAGAGGAAGATTTTTCCCCTTGGCTCTGTACTCCACCCCCACCCCAGCCCCACCCCCAGGAGTTTGCAGGACGGTAAACATGAGAAATTACCCCTAGCCTGAGACACAGTTCATAGTCACGGGAGCGCGCCGGCCTCTGGGAAAGGATAGTGAACGTACCAGTTGTCTTGTTGGAAATCCCTTGAGTTCTGCATGTCACACCTGGGCAGAGGGTGTAGCCACCGAGGCAGAGGGTGGGTTCCCCCACCCCCACCTTCAGGACCTCGCTGAGCAGTACGTTTCCTCCTCAATCCCCTCACCACCCCCTCACCACTCCACTCGAGTCCAGTTCCCTATTTTTGCTTGCTTTCTGTAACCGGAAGGAGTCCTGGTGGTGTAGTGGTTAAAGTGCTGGGCTGCTAACCAAAAGGTCAGTAGTTCGAACCCACCAGCTGCTGGGAAGGAGAAAGTTGTGGCAGTTTGCTACCGTAAAGATTACAGCCTTGGAAACCCGTGGGGGCAGTTCTACTCTGTCCTACAGGGTCTCTATGAGTCGGATTGACCCAATGGATACAGACTTGGTTCTGTATCCGGCGTGGGATTGAACTAGATAACACAAAGGTGCAGATTCCAGAAGTCAATGTGAACGGGCGGGGAAACCGGGGGAGGTTTCAGGCCACTTTCTCCTCCTCCACCGCCAAATCCATCCCAGGCCGGTCGCAGCCTCCGGGCTCTGCCGCTGAGGGCTGCTCGTTCTGCAGCCAGACCCGCCTAGGAAAGGCCTCCGCGCTGGACCCCTCCCCACCAACAAGGTCACAGGTGGGCAGGCAGGGGGCCTCTAAGACCCCAGCCTCTGCCACGGGCTCCCTCAGACAGAGGCACCTCCGGCGGGGACGCATTCCCCCGAGGCCGGACCCGGGGCAGCAGAGGGTGCCCGGCGTGGGCAAGGCGTGGCCAAGTTCGTCTTAGGGATCAACGCGTGACCCTCCGGAGCTGGGGCAGCCCGGCTGGACTGCGGGGAGTGGCCGGGAAGTCAAGGCTAGGCGGCCCCCAACCTCCCCACCGAGGCGGACGAGGCCGTCGGGCGCGGGCGGCGGAGGTCCCGCCCAGTTGGCTCCCGCGGCCCGGGGTCGCGCCCGCCCTCTGCGCC